GAAAGCACCTCCGTGACAGGCAGCCTTTGGGTTTTTCCTTCAGGATCCAACCAGTTTTACGCGTTCTGCTTCCCAGCCTCCTATAAAGTGTGACTACTTAGCTGGTCGATGACTGGTGGCTTGGTTAGTAATGATTAAACAGGAAGGAATCAGAAATAAGTTGTCATAATTTAAACTGAATCCTTCATGTTCTTAATGCTAAATTTGAAGGTTAAACAGTGGGAAGGTGGAAATAGTCATCTGTTTTGCTCTTCTAAAGAGTGACAGAGTCAGAGATCCCGGCTCCTGCCCAGGCTCTGTCCCTGACATAAGGATTCTCAGACTTTCCTGCCAAAGTCCCTGTGATAATAGAGGGAGGAGAGTGCACTGGACCCAGTGGTCTGGGGGCTCAGCCTGAAGAGCCCTCACCGAGGACCAAATTCTTTTGAGGCCTTAAGTTTACTTTTAAAATTATGCAAACTTGGCCTTTTATTACATAGTATATTTTATGTGTCTTAATATAAAAATATTCTAAACTATTTGCCCTCAGAAAACCTCTGTGGTCCTCAGAGAGGCTTCTTATGTGTCCTGTGACAGCCCCACCACTCGGCCACTGTAGGGCGGCTCTTGGGCACTTGCAGCCCAGGTGCTTCAGTGTGTGGCCCCTAAATCAGTCCCTTCTCTTTGATTTTTTGTCAAACTTCCCTCCACTGTCCCAGGTTATCCCTCTAATGGCTACATTTAGGGAACACTTACTAAGGCCAGCCTCCATGCCAAATGCTTTACATGCATTTTGTCGTTTAAATTCTCGCAACTGCCTGAAGCTCAGAGAGGTGAGGTAGCTTGCCTAAGGTCACACAGCTGTCAAGTGGCAGAATCAGGATTCAAGCACTTGAGTGACTTCCAGCAGACTGTGGCCCCTGCTGCCTCTCAGGGGCCAAGGCTGGAGCACGGCAGCCTCCCCAGGAAGGAGGCTATTGTGGTGCATCTAGAAAGAGCATGCAAGTAATACAAGAAGAGTCAGCAAAGCTAGGTTTAGGTCTAGCTCTGTCCCTGACTAGCTATGGGTTCTTGAGGGAGCCCCTTAGCCTCTGGGTCTTCCTTTATAAAATGGGATGAAAAAGGTCTGTGAAAAGGACAGAGGGAAAAGAGGAGCTAGAGTCATCATCCCAGGTTCATTTCTTGTTCTGTTGTTTACTGGCTGTGCCATCTCAGGCAGGTCACCAAATCCCTAAGCCTCTATCTCCTTCCTTCTGAAGTGTGGAAAAGAAGAGCCGCCTCACAGGGCCACTACAGGATTGACAATAAGATGTGTGAAACGCCGGGACAGCGTATGTAGCAGCAGCTCCATAAAGGCCTCCCACGAGCGGGAGTCCCGTCACAGGGGTGTGAGCGGTGGTGTCCATATTAAGAAATTGTGACTATTAAAATGAGGGAAATGTGTGAGGGCAAAACTACAAAGTAAGGCAATCCCTTAAAAATAAGGAACTGGAGAAGGGTCTGCCTTAATGCACCCCAAAAGAGTTCAGCTGGTTGAAGCCCTGGAGTTCCCTTTCATCGAGAAACCTCTGACATAAGTCAAAATCAGAGAAGGAGCCACAGTTCACGTTTTGCTTTTTGCTTTTCTTTGTTTTATGTTCTTTTTTCCATCTCTTCTCCATGATCCCAGTATGAACACTCCTCCAACCCATCCCTACCTGCACTGGTGCCGGGCACCCAGAATGCATTTGTGTTAAGCCCTTCCAAACATCTCAGGGAGACAGAACGCCTGGGGCAGGTGGAGGTGGGGTGGGGAGGGCCCAGGTCCCTCTGCTAGCTGGTTTGGAGGACAGAGCCAGTCCCTCCACAAAGAGAGACTCAAGCTTTAACGTTGGCTCAGTCCAACTCTGTGACTCGGCCAGTCAGCCCTAATTCCTCAGTGTGGGCAGGACCCCGAAAGACCACCTACCAGCGTCTTGGTGAACTTGTGTGGCCCCAGCCTTGGCAGCCACACACAGGCCCTTCCCAAAGTCCCAGTGATGGGCACTCCGTCTGAAGGGACTCCAGGCCCTGAGCAAACACCGCCCCTCCATCCCCCTGTTGGTGCCTTGCAGTCCTGCCTGGAGGAAGTTTTCCAAAGCAGCTGGGGCTTCCTGAGTGGCCAAGATGCTGTGGGTGGGATGGGGTCTCCTCTCCCTTGGCCTTTTCCCCTAAGCTGGGGTCCCAGGCACCTCTCCCAGTTTGGAAACCAGATTATTTATGGTTTATTTTTGACACCAGATCATCGCTGCCCAAGTTTCATCAATTTGTCACTGTTTTTATTGTCAGCAATTGCCCATAACTGGAGCACATTTAAAATGTCATTGATCTTGGTATTACAGTGTCATAATCTGACAGTAATAGGTGTAGCCAGCACAGGAAGCCCAGGCCCTGAGATTGATGGCGTTCAGCACACCAATTATATTCTGTCCATCTAAGTGATAAAAGAGTACGTAGGAGGCATTCAATAGATAAATTAGATATCGCTCCCAATTATGGCCCTTTATTTTATGGAGTCATATGCTCCCCTTAGAACTTTTTTTCTTCATTTGGCTTGTAAAGGGGCATTACTTGACCCCAAAGACCAGGGCTGCCTCCCCTGCCTGACCCACCTTGGGTTTGACCCTGATCCCTCCCTGCCTTCTAGAAGTCTCTCACCTGGGCTCTCCCTGGAGCTTACCTAGGAGCCTCCTCAGCGTGGTGCGGGGGAATAGGTGTGGGGGGAAGGAGGTGGAGGCGCCCGGTGTCTGGGGAGGAGGTGGATCAGGCCTTTGGGTAGGACGAGGAGGTCTGATGATGACTTTCCTTAATGTGACTCCGGCCAAATAAATGAGATGGGGAGAGGGGCCATTCAATGGGTTACCATCCTCCAGTCCCCAACACCCTGGAGCCTTCAGATTAGGACAACCAGTGAACTGCTGGGGAGGAGGAGGATGGTCAGAACGCTTTCGGTCCTCTGGAAGTGACTTCATCCATCCCCTGCCTCACTCTAGCCTGAATTGAGCCAATCGAAACATTTCTTTGGAAGAACCCCCAGAACCTCCTGCACCCCCATTCCAGTCCAGATCAGATGCCTTCCTCAGCTTGACTCCCAGCCCTGCCACTGTGGTAGCAGAATGATGCCAGCTTTCCTGGGGGGCGGGGGGCAGCGGGCTCCCTGCAGGAGAACAGACCCCAAGAGCAGCTCATTTCCAAGATGAGAGCTCGCCTGAGGCAGGGAAGTGCCTGTCTGTCTAGAAGCGAGAGGAAATACAGTTGGGGGGGGGGATCTCTTTATTTGGAGCCTGGTTTATAAGCACCTTAAACTCTGAGGACAGCCTTGGCCTGGTCCAGACCCCTGTTCCCCTCTCCCTCACGGCCCCCTGAAGCCAGCGGGAAACACAGAGGAGACCGAGACACCAGGTGGTGAACAGTGATCCAGGTCCATTTATTGAGCTTTGAAGGAGAAAGTGTCCACGGGCTGGGCTGTTCCCCACAGCCTGTTGCCATCCCCACTGTTATAAATAATCCTGGCACTAAGTGCCCTGTTACACTTAGGGGAAGTTGTTCTTACCGCGTGAAACCTGAGAATATGGGTCAAGGGAGGAGGGGTGACAGGGGACAGGAGAGAGAGCTGGGGCGCCAGCACCCCGCGGCTTCTCAAGTGCACCCCTGAGCTGGTGATAGATGCATTTCTGGAGCAGTGGATGGCACTTCAAGTGAAATGTTTATAGGAAATGAGTGTGATTTAAACAACGTCTTGGCCGATAAACACCAGCCAGATCGGGGGAGAGGGCGAGCCGAGCCGTAGTGGACTCAAAGGCCCGGAGGCCCCCGTGTTAAGTAGCTGTCGAAGCTCTGCTCAAACACACACACCAGCTTTGGTCTTAACACGTTTTTAAGAGCTGGTTATGATTTCCTTGAGGGCAGCTCAGATTAAGACTCGAGTGGAGCCCCCAGCTGAGCGCCCTCAATAACTGTCCATCACGTCCTCTTTAGAGACAGCAGCCTCCTCCCCCGGCTCAGGGGGCCAGGCCTGCAGAGCGCTGCCAGGCTGCCCTGCCCGTCAGCCTGCTCCCAGGCAGCACCGTGGCCTGTTGCCCTGTGCATGGACCCTGCCCTGGGTGCTGGGGCAGATCCCGAGGACAGGAACTGAGCCCCGCTCACAGCGCTCTCAGTCTTCAAGAGAGAAAACACACAACCTAGGAAAGAAGAGAGTGAAGAGAGCAAAGGGACGGAAGCCAAAGAAGAGAAAACTGTCACCAAATCCAGAATCTGGGCCCTTTTCACCACGTCCTCTGCTGTCAGCCTGGTCCAAGCCGCTCACCTCTCACTTGGATCAGTGCAATAACCTTCCAACAGGTCTCCCTGCGTCTCCCCCAACCCCCGCAATCTATCTCAACACAGAAGACAGAAGGACCATCTGAAAACTGAAGTCCAGTCATCTCTCTCCTCCCCATTTCACTTGGAGTAAAGATGAAAGTCCTTAAGACAGCCTACAAGGCCCTACAGCATCTGGCCCCTCGTTACCTCTCTGACGTCATGCCCTCCAACACTTCTCCTTGCTCACTCCACTCCAGCCACACTGGCCTCCAGGTTCCACAAACTTGCCAGGCATGTGCCTGCCCCAGGGCCTTTGCATTGGCTGTTCCCACTGCTTAGAATACTCTTCCCCAAGATATCTGTGGGGCTTACTTACCCCGTCATCTCTAAGTCTTAGATCAAATACTATATTCTCAATGAGACCTCTTTGACTACCATATTTAAAATTGCAGACTTCCCCTCCATCCTGGTCTCTCTTTCCCTGATCTATTTTTTCTGTAAACCTTATCACCTTCTAATATACAATACAATTTACCTATTTAACAAATGTATTGTTTATTTTCTGTCTCTCCTTGCTAAAATGTAAACTCCACATGGGCAGGGGTCTATCTCTGTTTTGTTCACTGATGCAGCCCAAGAACGGAATAGTCAATAATAATTGCTTAGTGAGTAGATGCAAAGGATGAGGTTAACCAGGTGTGGAGAGGAGGGCAGGGGGAGTCCATCCCAGGCTTGAGGTTAACTTGTGCCTTATCTCACTGCAGGCCATGTGTGAGGATCTGGGGGCCAAGGTGACAGGCACAAGTGCAAGAGCTGGGCTAGGGGATCACCAGAAATGGGGAGATTCAGTTGGCAAGGGGACTAGCCTGGATTCACCCCCTGACTCTGGTGGAAGACTTGGCTTTAGGTTGGGATGTCATCACCTCCGTGACCAAAGTGTTCTTTGGGATAATAATACCCGAGGGATGTGCTGGCAAGAAGGAAGTGGTTGGAAATGAGGGGCGGACTAGGAATTCAGAGGCCCTCAAGTGGGAGGAGGGCGGCTGCTTGTGTATGTAAGTCAGGGGAGGGAACCGAGTCATCATCTCCAGGAGGATGTTCTATCTCCACTGGGGGCAGGATAAAAAGCCATGGGCTGCACCTGAAGTAGAAGGAATCGGAGTTAGACATCAAGAAAGACTTCCCAACAGTGCAGCAGGTAGTAGAGGGAAGGTGTGGAGCCTTGTTCTCTGGAGAACCTGAGTGGACCCAAGGGGGTGGCACCTCTGCCAGGCTAACACTCAGAGCCCTGTGGGTCTGCGAGGCCTGGGAGGGCAGTGTGGGGGACTGGAGCCCTAGAGAAGGTTCCTGCCTCTGCCTGGCCCTCCAGCCCTCCCTCTCACCTGCAGGGCTTCTGAGCTCCTAAGGCAGGAAGTCATCTTACCAGGGTGGGAGGGGAAACTGAGAGTGTTTGGTACTCCACGGCCCCAGCAGTCCAGGTGTGCCCCCCCACCTCCCCCCAGAACTCAGTGCTGAACTCAGCTTTGTGGTGACTTCAGGGTACAAGCCAGGAGGAGTAGCAAATATCTTTGGAGGGTTATACAAGACAGTGGTTTCAGTGGTTATAATGGAGAGAGGAGCCCGGGTGGCCTGGTAGTTCTGAGGGTGGGAGGGAGACTTACTTGTCACTGTGTAACTTTTGGTGCCTTTTCAGTTTTCAACCATATACATGTACTTCCTATTTGAAAAAAATAAAATAATTAAAATCAGACAAAAACAACAACAAAGAATAGATCCAAGGAAGTGGGAACTTCAGGCCTACAATTGCTCCCCTGAGGACAATGACCCAGCCCTTCTGGCTCATGTGTACCCTCCTCCTCATCTGGTATCTCCATTCTCTAGAGGCTCAGAGAGGGGTGTGGCTGGTCTGATGTCACACAGCTTTTAGGGGCTGTGTGACTCTCAGAAAAGGTCTGGGGGGTCAGGTATCCAGACTCTCAGTGTCTTGAATAGCTTGGTCTTCCCCTTGACCTCGCCATGTTGTTTGCAGGGCTGTGTATCTGCCATAAGTCAGCCTTCAAAGAGGTATTTTAAAATGTGCATGATCTTAACTGCCACCTTTCCCAGAGAGTCATCTCTTTTCGGCGCTCTCCTCTGTCCCTGGTGTGGTGACTGATGGTTTATTCCCTCCCTTCCTGCCTCCCTCCTCTCCACCATCCTCAACCACCAAGGTGGCTCTTCAATGCAATTTGGCCCTGCCCGTGATGAGACAGGTGACCTTGAGCAAGTCATTTAACCTTTCTGTGCCTCTCTTTCTTCACCTATAATGGAGGACGTGACCTTCCTCCCACTGGTCTCCATCCATCCACGAGTAAACGAGCCTGTGCCCAGCACTGAGCCCGGCACCAAGATCACACGAGATGATGTCCGTGGAGTCAGTACAGAGGCACAGAGAGTTATTGCCAAGGCCTGCTTCCCTGGCTGCTTTTCGCTCCAACCCCCCATCTGGCACGCCCTGGGAGGAACAGCCTCATTGTCTGCTCCCAACCTCCCAGCTTCTGGCACTGCCCCTAGGGTGAAGCTGACATCCTCTGGATAAAGTGTCAGGGCTGCAGAAATAGCCTCTTCCCCAGGCTCTTTTATTGGCTAGATCCCGAGGGTATCGCTTTGCCTGCAAAAAAGAATGATGCTAAATTCGCTGTGGATCTTCAGTCTGGAACTTCAGAAGCGTCCAACTCTCTTGTCCTCTGGGGGCTCCATCCCTGAGACTCTGCTCATGGCCCTGTCCTGCTCATTTCTCTCCTTTCCTGAGCCCCACGCCTCCGGAGGACAGGCGTGGAGACTAAGATTCTGCGATTGGAAACTCTCTCACATTTGCCTCCCTCTAAACGTAACCTGGGCTGTGGAGGAAAGAGGGCCCCTTCTTTAAAACCACTACCACCTCAGAGCACCTAGGAGCTTGTTTTAGATAGAGAAGTTTCCAGAGCTCTTGGAGGGAGGTCGTCCCCACTCCCTGCCTGGCCACCGAGGGTTGAGTGAGTATCAGTGGGAGGGAGGAGTGTTTGTAGAAAACATGTGCTGCTTCAGCCTGGTGACAATTATCCCAAGTCAAGTCAAAGTGATGATGATGGACCATGGGGAAGGAGGGAGCAAGTTTAGACATAAGGAGGCACCTCCTGATTGTCAGGGAACAGGTTTAAGGAGAGGGGTTGTGGAGGGGCAGATGGAGCTACTCAGACACAGTCCTTCTGGAGGCAGAAGGAAGGATGAGATGATCTGGGGGTTGCAAAGGATCCAGGGATTCCATGATGTTGCACGGCTGGCAGTGACTGGGGAGGAGGCCAGGGAGATGTTAGTTCATCCTCATCTAGAGCACAAACCCTGGGATGAGGACCAGGCTCTCTGGAACCCCCCACAGCCCAGCACAGAGCCTCACACAGGGCAGACTGGAGAATCTGACTGAAAAGGACAAGTCTTTCCCTGGAAGATGTGCCAACTCCATCCTCAAGGAAGCACAATTGCGTTAGAGTCCCAGCAAAAATGGTTCCAAACTGTGGGACCTGGAAGTACTTCCTCACGTCCAACCTCAATCCTGCTTACCCCAGCTTGATCTCACTGCAACCTGACCCATCCCCAGAGGACTAACTGAGCAGGGAATAAGGGCCTTGCTTTCAGGCATAGCCTATTGGCCATGGGAGGCAGAACAAGTTGGCCAAACTCTCAAGAACCTGTGTCAGCTCCCGGGAGCCCCGTGGGAAGTGGGGGAGGGAGGCGCTTCCGTAGAACTGCCCACTCCGCGAGGACATGAGCAGAACAGCAGAGGGCACAGCCGCGGGGGGTTGAGTGTCCAGAAGAGGCGGGGTTCTGGAAACCCCTCTTGGATGGGGGTGAGAGCCCCTCTGGATGCTCAGCCCCTCCACCCCCGAGGACAGCCTGCAGCATCCAAAGCGCAGGAACTGACCCTGCGTCATTCTGGCAGCCCCAGCGCCCAGCGCAGAGCAGATGCTCCAAACACATGGGTTGAATGAATAAATGAGCCTGGGGGCCAAGAGCTAGCCCAGCAGCAGCTGGAGTCCGTCTTTGGATAAGGTATTCCCCTCTCTGGGCCTCAGTTTCCCCATCTGTAAAATGAGGGGCTCGCACTAGATTCTAAGGTTTTCTTCACCCTGTTTCCCCGTTCTCTCATCTGTTGCTTTCCAGTTCTCTCTCCCTCTACATCCTCTCTTCTCTCCTCTTAAACCCTTCTCTCCACTTAGCCCACATGCTCTGCACCCCTTTCTCAGTCTCTCCCTCCCCGGCCACCTTTCTCCTGTTTCGCCTTTACGGGTGTTTTGCTCTCTCTTTCTGGTTCTGGTGATTCCTCCCTCACTACCCTGGCCCTTCCCTGGAACCTTCTGTGTTCTGGTTCCCCTCTCCCCCATTCTAGCGCCCCCTCCACTGACACCAGAACGGGGAGACTGGAAGAAGGGGAGGGGTCCTAAGGCAGCGTCTGTCTTGCCCCTGCAATGGCCCCTGCGCGGTGCCCCAGGTCCCCGCCCCCCAGCGTGGCCCGCCCCTCTCGCAGCAGCCGGTGCCGCCGCGCGCCCTCGCCCCGCGCTAATGCGATCTGGAGAGACCCGGGCGGGCGGCGGGCAGTCTGGGCCCAGCATCCCGGGCGGCGCTGATGGATGGTCCCCTGACAGTAATCGCAGAATGAGGACGCGCCGGCGACGCTCTCGCCCGAGGCCCCGCTGTTTGGCGAGCTCGGAGTCCCTCCTTCCACAGCACCTGCCTCCCGGGCGCTGTCCCCAGCCCACTCTGCTTTGGAGAGGACTGAGGCCTCCAGGTTAGAGCCAAGGTGGGGACTTTCCCTACTCTGTCTCCCCCAAGACACTGGTTTCTGTTTTGGAATTGTCCTTGAATCCTACACTGCATCTGTGATTCTGCATAAGCTACTCATCTCTTAGGGCCTTGGTTTTCCCTTCCGTATAGTGGGAAATAATGGTCTTTTAAGCCTGGATGGAGAGTGTTAGCAGTAAAAAAGAAAATATTGAGGAAAATTGCCACTCTCCCTTAACTAGAAATTAATTTTTACTTTTAGTTCCCAGTGCTCAGAATAGCCTGGGCTAATATATAAAGCTGAATGAGGGCTGGGTGGACTTCCACACACAGAACACATGGTTATACATGTACATGTGTCATAACATTTGGGGCTGTCTAATCAATATATCTGAACATAAGAGATGGCAACATCAGTATTGCTCGGATGTCTTTAAAGAGAAGCACATCAGAGCAGGTATTTCTCCAGGGAGGTGACCATCTCGAGCAGGACTCTTTCCACTCTCCTGAGGTCCACCTACTGGTCTAAGCCCCAACGCTCGGCCAGTCTTGGGATCCCCTTCAATCCCGGGCTGGGCCGAGTAAGGGCTGTGAAGAGAGGATTCCCCTTGGGGAAATGTTCCTGGACAATTTCCCACCCCACACCCACTTCCAGGTGACACAGAGTTCCAAGGTTCCTCCACTCCTCCACCCCAGGGGATCCCCCTTGGGCTGGGGACAAGGATCCAGAACCAATTACAATTCTGAGAATACACCCAGACGCCTCCTCACTCCCTTTTAACCTTTCCCTCTCGTCAGAAGCCAAATTGAGTTAGTGTTGAGTTTTGATTTAATTCCCGAAATGGAGTCATAATCTATTTAGTGTCCTTTTTCCAAAGTCCTGGGTACTGAAGTGTGGGGTGGGGGGAGTTAATGAGAGAGCAGCTCTGGTGCTTGCAGAGCACCCTCACACACACAGCATCCAAGTAACACCAAAGAGCAGGAGACACCATGGTCCCGAGGGCCACTGTGGTATGATGGTGATGATGATGATGGTGATGATGACGACCACTAATATTTACCATGTGCCGTTACTGAGGTAGCCACTGTACATGCATTTCTCACTTAAGTCTCACAATTACCTTCTGGGTACCATTAATATTCTCTAGCCCTGGTGGTCTAGTGGTTAAGATTCGGTGCTCTCACCGCCACGCCTGGGTTTGTTTCCCCATCAGGGAACCACATCACCATCCGTTGGTTGTCATACTGTGGTGGCTGTGTGTTGCTGTGATGCTGAAAGCTACACCACCAGTATTTCAAATACCAGCAGGGTCACCCATGGTGGACAGGTTTCACCAGAGCTTCCAGACTAAGACAGACTAGGAAAAAGGACCTGGCCACCCACTTCCAAAAAAAATTGGCCATGGAAACCCTATGAACAGCAGCAGAGCATTGTCTGATACAGCGCCAGAAGGTGAGAGGATGGGGCAAAAATACTGGGCAGGGTTCTGCTCTGCTGTCCACAGGGTCACTAGGAGTCAGAATCCACTCGATGCCACCAACAACAAATAGATGAAGACTCTGAGACTTAGAGAGGTTAAGTAGCTTATGCTGCATCCTACAGCTTTAATTCAATGGCAGAGACCAAACTTGAAACTACACAGTCAGACTACCCAGCCTGTGCTCTTAACCACACTTAACTGCGTGACCCTGGGCAAGATACTTAACTGCTACATGCCCCAGTTCCCTTATTTGCATAACATAGATAATAAATAGGGATAATAACATACTCCCTTCATAGAGTTGTTGTATTGATTACATGAGATAAAGCATTCACCATACTCACAGTAAACATTCAATTGTTTAAGTGCCCTAAACATTGGGGTAGGGTTGGGCAAGGGAAGGAGTGCAAGGCAATGCAATGGGGTGACTATTCATTAG